TGACATTGCGCGGCGTGTCATAGTACTGACGGGCAGTTGGGGCAACCAGCTCATCTTATTCGGGCAGCTATTTGGGCAGGTATCTCACCCTTATATAAAGAGGGTGAGCCTTTATCCCTTAACACGATTTTTCCATTATTCACTTCAGTATACTCATACACATACTGACTTAAGCATCGAAGGCTCTTCACCGGACACAACCTCCGGTGTGAGAGTTATTTGCAGGTTTCCGACGTTCTACCGGCGAGGACGAGAATCGATCTATTCCGAACCGGACCAGGGCGTTCACACTTACATTAGCAGGCTTGGCCTGAAAGTAAAGTGATGTTGAGACAAAATTGCAATACATAATAAATGCTTAGTATTTTGTTGCAAAGTTAAAAAGTTGAGGTTTATTTGAAATTATACAAAATGTTGAGATTTTATACCCAATTAATCCTTAAATAATATAGATATCCAACTGATAAGTTGAAGATTTCCAAGGATAAAATGTTGTAAAAAAACAATCATTCATAGTAAATTCAAGCAACACAGCCTAAAGGTTCGACCTCTAAGCACACAGAGACCAACCTCGATTCACATCTGAAACTCTTTATTTCCCTAATCTACTTTCTTTTATTTTACACGATTATCTTTCCAAACAATAAGTTGATTCTTGATTAACCATTGATACAAATCACATATCAACCATACTATCCAAAAGTATACTTATCCAAGGAATTAGATATGAAGCCTCGGGAGAACTTGACATATGTTCACGGATACATTGTGATTTCATAAACACCAATAAATCTCACCCTTATGACTTATCCACATACTCAAATGCGAGTTTAGTTCTTAGCCGAAAAACGCTTTTATCCATAGCAATCAAAATCTTCTTTACCGACTTTCCCTAAAGTTCCCACATACTAAAAAGCATATTCCCCGAAAACGCGGCCAGAATTGGAAGAATTATGTCGTCTTGGTCAGCTCTCCGGCGGTCCTCCACGTGGATCCACCGATCTCCCGCCGCTCAAAGCTCCAACGTCCGCCGATTCTCCGCCGCGCCTCCACCGCGTGAGTTGGTGTACTGCCAGAAGAGTTCTGATGCCCGTGGAAAAACGAATTTTCTAGGATGGATTTCGGCCGGAATCATCGCCAGCTCCACGATTTCTCTCTCTTTGTACTCCTTTTCCACACCATCTCCAGGTTCTAGTTATTTTTCCTTCGCGGACTGGTCGGCGCCGGGTCCCACGACCGTTGCCGCTGCCGCGGTTGCTGTTTCCGATTCCGGCCTGCACAATCAAAACAGTGAATCTAAATTCCTGTTTGGAGGTAAAGGGAAGGTGCCATTGTTCTTTGAGCAACTGGTCCACGAAGATTTTTCTTGTGGCGTTGATTAATTTATATATTAGCATGTTGAGAATTTTTGTTCAATGTTGTATGCAGAAGCATTTAGGAGGAAGATATTTTTTAATTACGAGAAACGAATCAGAATGCGTAGTCCTCCTGAAAAGGTACTAATTTGAGATCTGTATTAGTTTTAATTGGAAAAAAAAAAAGAAGGGGATGATATCTCATGGTTCGTGTTGTGGCTAAGTTTTGTTAAAGCTATTAGAATAAAGTGAACAGTTCCTGATTTTGACTAGTTATAGCGCATCATCCTTTGCCCACATACTAGATCCTTTGTCGAAGTAATTTCTCTGCTTTGTTGGTCTTATAAGGATATAGGCATTGTAGATTGAAATTGAAAATGGGAGTTGTTATTAACCTGGCATTTTGTAGATCGCGATGTGATAAGTTTCACATGCCCTCCAATGTAGAGGAGATTGTGGACCTTTAGTAAATAAACATGCTTGGAGGCTAGTCTGGCCCTTGGCAATTGCTCGTCTTCTTGTTCTTATTTGTTGTGAAACATAAAAGACATGTGTTCTTTATAAGTTATAACTGTTGTATGTTACATTCTTAACCCTTGTTGCTTTATTCCTAAGCTTGATATACACAAAATGTGATCAAATATCGGATTGATCGTGTTCATTTGACAGGTGTTTGAGTATTTTGCATCCATCTGTGCCGATGATGGAGAAGTTTTTATGACACCAGCGGACCTTATGCGAGCACTAGTTCCCGTGTTTCCTCCATCTGAATCGAACCTTGTAAGAGATGGATATCTCAGAGGGGAAAGGAGTCCTGGAGAGTTGCGTTGTGCCCCATCCCAGTTTTTTATGCTCTTCGACACAAATAGTGATGGTTTAATATCATTCAAAGAGTAAGTAAAATTTCGTTTGGGTTATTATGGTTGGATTATCTTTGCTTTATTATATATTTCTTTTCCCATAGACTTTTCCTTTTCTCTGCCTTTTCCTGTCTCACTCCCCACTACATTACAATTTATTTTATGGAACAATTTTCATGAACGACTTAAAGTTCTCTAATGAATCTTCCACAGGTATTTATTCTTTGTAACGCTACTCAGTATACCTGAAACAAGCTTTTCAGTGGCATTTAAGATGTTCGACCTTGACTGCAATGGGTATGTACCATTTTAATATTTGCCCATCAATAAGCTTAGTTGGAGTCCTTTTGGGTTAATTTGTAGTAGACAATTCCAATGTTCATTACATATTATGGGAAACACACCTTCGTCGTGATTCGTTAGATAGTTGGAGAACTTGAGTGAAAATAACGTTTGGTTTGTTTCAGATGCATAAATTGTTGGAAAGAAAACCGATTGGAGTCAAGTCAAATATATATTTTATTTGACATAATGCTGGAAGAAAATGGATATTTTGATTTATAGAGATTGAGAAAGTACTTTAATGTTCTCGATATAATCACCTTCAGAACTTGTGTCTTTACAATCATGATCTAGGTTGTGTATATAGAAAGAATTTCTTTAATTTCACCGGTTTCTGTATCCTGCTATTGTGTTTTAAAAATGCTCTATTTTTTATGTTATTTTTTTCGTTGATGATGAGAAGTCTCTTTCTCTGGATAGGGAAATTGATAGAGAGGAGTTCATGAAGGTGATGACTTTGATGCGAGCTCATAATAGGCAAGGGGCTGTACACAGTGATGGATTTCGAGCAGGCCACAAATTGGGTGGCTCGAAAGAAGATGGAGGGTTGTTAGAGTACTTCTTTGGGAGAGATGGCAAGAAACTTCTTCACCATGATAATTTTGTCCAGTTCTTGAGGGATCTTCATTATGAAGTAGGTGCTCCTTCTCCATCTGAATTCTGAATAATAAGAATGAGGTTTGCATGTAATGGTTGACCTCATTAGAAGTCATATCGACATATCCCACTTAATGTTTCAAGTGCTCTGGCCACACGTGCTGCCTGATACATTAGTGTCCTTGATCCACTCAACTATAATGTTTTAGTTTCTCGGTTGACTTGGCTGATTTTTTTATACCAAGCATGGTTCCAAAACAAGCTTTCCCCATCTATTTGTACTGTGTGTATATAGCAGTATTTAAATATACTGCTATAACAGAAACAATCGAGCCTTCTTCTGCTTCAATTCATGTGGCTTCCTGTCTGCAATTAGGCGTGAATTAAAATTTCCGTGAATTAAGAGAATTACCCAACTCTTTTGTCTACTTGTGCTCCTTCTCGTCAATCCCTGGCATACATTGCCTTGTCTGTATTTCCAAAGTTGCTCTTGTGTAAGCCCTTGGTTCTTCTCGGGAATATGGATGAACTATTGCTTGAGTAGTTTGTGCCTCTTCATTCATCTCTAAAAAAAAATAAAAAATAAAAAATAATAAAAAATAAAAATCTTGTAGCTGGTATCATACTAATGATCTGAATTAAGTAGTGGATTATAGAGTTCCTTGCCTTAATGTTATTAATTTCTACTTTGCAGATTGTGAGGCTGGAGTTTGCTCATTATGATTACAAGTTACGAGGAACCATATCGGCCAAAGATTTTGCGCTGTCCATGGTTGCATCAGCCGATCTGAAACACCTGAACAAGCTGCTCGACCGCGTTGATGATATAGATAATCAGCCACGTCTATCAAATATCCGCATCACGCCCGAGGAGTTTTCGAATTTTGCTGAGTTACGAAGGATGTTGCAGCCATTTTCTCTCGCACTTTTTAGTTTCGGAAAAATAAACGGGTTACTAACAAGGAAAGATCTACAGCGAGCAGCTTACCAAGTAG